TATTTTCCGCCCTCGGGTGGTTTTGGGAGGCTGGTACTTCCTCGGGCGAAAAAGCAGTTTTCCTGAACTCGTTCGAAAAGTCTCCTTTACGAACCTCGTTACGTCCCTCGCCTTCGGCTCGGGCCGCAAACCTCTCGGTTCGCAAACAGAGACTTTTCAAACTCGTAGGAAAACTACTATTTCTCATATGGATAAACTTACAAACACACTTTTACGCATTCTTGACTTTTTCTTTTTGTTTTATGAAAAAAAAAAGAAAAAAAAAAAAAACCGAATTATAGATCTATTTGGAAATGAAAAAGGTTTATCTTAAAGTAATCTTTCATACAAACAAAAATTGGGGAATTCATACAGATCTTATAAATGCCATTTTAAATGGATTTTTCCATAAGGTTACATGTTCATCTGCAAATTTTTAAATTAAACATGTGAAAGAGGATACAATTAAACGATTTCCAATTTTTTTGGGTATTTTTTATGGTATTTTTAGTATACTCTTGATGCTGGAATAATGTCTGTCGAAAAAAACTATATGTGATGAACGTCCTGAATGGACATTTACTGGCATGTACTACTATGCTATCGAAGAAAGTGGTACTACAGGATTGTTTTGTCTTAATTCTTGAGATTCAATTATATTTAGGATATTAAATATGGACTAAGAATAAGTGTGTGAGCGTGACGTTACAGATGTAATCAGCGTAGGTAGTAAGAAGTTGTTTTGAAACTATCACAAGATTTAATGAAAGTGCACAGTCTTGTACTGGCCAGCCTCTATATTGTTTAAATTGTATTGTGCCATAGTATATCGTTCATAATTGTTCAGTTATTAAATATTAAAATATTTATTGAAACCACACCCAACTAACGTAGGTATACTCATTCCAACGATAATTGGACCACGTTTGTATACAATATCGTTTCACAGAAAGTGCATTTATATTTATAATTATATTATCTGCCATATAATTTTATATGAGTATAACTTCTTACTTGGGTACCCAAGCAACCAGAGGCTACTGGTTTTTTTCAATCTTGTAGTACACATGGCAACACCAACAAAAACTTATTTTCCGACCTCGGGCGTTTTTGAGGGTTGGGTGTGCCAGCTCGGTAGGAAAAATAGGATTCGCCACTTTAGTGCCATCGCTCGGTGGCTACCTTACGTCAATACGTCTGCAAAATAGCCCGGATCGCAAAATAGCCTCGGAGACGGGCAGACTTTTCTGCCCTAGGGTTGAAAGTGATTTACCGGGCTCAAAGTGTGCCCACGGGCATCAAATTGCACTTTGCGCCCTCGGTAAGAAAAACATTATACGTGACTTGGGCACCAACATACAACAATCGTTTACAACAATTACAACTCATGTTTGTACTTTGTGCCCTAGTGACGTAATGTACCATATTGTACTCCAACATAAAATACGCTTAAATGACCGATTTATGTGGTCAATTCACTGATAAACAATTTTATTTTCAATAAAAAAAAAATTTGTCTATAAGACTCTGTGCATCTTGGTTATCTCTCAGTGAAAGAAAATTTCCTACACTCGATGGTGCCACCTTAATTAGGAGCATAGCGAATCATGCAACGAAAAGATGTTTTTTCAATACTCGTGCTGCGCATTCGTGCGAGTGCGTGTCTACGTCCAGATCTTTAGAGCCACATGAGATGGCTCATAATCTCGTTCCCCGCGCATGATGTGTCGAAAAGTCGTACCTATACACTACGTGCGAGAGGTTAGGTGATAATAGGTGATTGATACACGCATGTCTTCGCAAACTGATACGCGTGCGACAATCGCCTTCCTCGCGCACTTGTATCGTAATGTGATACATGCAAACTCTTGTCTCATCTTGCCGAAACAATTTATGTTTTTTGATTTCTTGAAAATTCTGCAGGAAAAAGAAAAAAGTTATCTTAAGTAAAAAATAAATAGTACTATTTATATGTGACAATGTTATACCTGAACTGAAATAACAACCTTCGCCTTTGCGATAATTTAACATACAATTGAAAAAATGTGATTAAAAAAATTTTGTTTTTAAATGATAGTTCTAGCTATACTTATCTTTAAACGTAAAAGTTAATTTTTCATGTAAGATTAATATTTTGTTTGATCTATTTTTTCATATCAAACTTGACTGTCAGCGATTGATGTCATTCATTTACATAGCTAAAAAATGGTTTTATTTTTAGACACTAAAGAAAAGGGAATTTTTTTTTTTTACTTATGATAAAGTCAGTCAAAAAGTTATGCCATAAATGCTTTCCATTTTGAATGTAATACAAATATTCAGTCTAATACATTAAAAAAACCTAAACCTTTAATGCTCTCAAACTTGCACAATTTGAAGTTTTGTTAAGAAGGGATTTTTTTATGGTACGCATATAGCATGTATACATACAAGCCGTAGACAGCAGAAACTTGCATCATTGCCATACATACTTATCTATACTTTCCTCACTTCTCTAAAGTTTTATCTCAGATTCCATAAAACATAAGTATATCCTAGGTCAGCCAATTTTCTCATTTGACTTTATCAAGAATCGTCTACAAATGCACCCACTTTTAAGGTTGGAGACTTGCGCTTATTGAAAGCAACGGTGCCAGCTCTGGCGGCGTCTGCCAACGTGAGTTTAAATTTTACTGCTCACTGGCTCTAAATGGACAAGCTATCCGGATTAAGCAGCTGCTCACTGTGCAAAGGAAAATAAGAGCTCAGAGAAAAAAAGTTAGTTGGTTGCCAAGGAGCAGTTACAATGAACTTGTATGGACAGTTACAACCGCTGTACCTACTAACTCTGCTGTTGCTTGTAATTGGTATAGTTATTTGCGATGAGCAAGTACTTACAGCACCTTCCAAAACATTTGATTCTGACGTAACTGATCTGCACTTTTTTTTCAATTCTATTTTTGGAGCAGGTGAAACGACCAGCTGGAGAGGTGAGTTTCTGTTTTATTCACCTTTTATTATTTTGACGCTTTTATGGTTGTTGATTAAATTGAGGTATTTACATTTGTAGTTAGATAAAAGTATTTAAAATCTGTAATCAGATAAAAGATATTTTTAATCTTACTTTAATGAAAAATATCTCATAGTAATTAGCATTTATTAAATTAAACATATTGTAACTAATCCATTTCAAGCAAATAATTTTTTGTGAACTGTCACATGTATACCCAAGATGGGATAAGGTCAGTAAAAAAGGTTTATTGGTCCTGCGAAAGTATAAGACCACCTGGTATAACGTTAGTCAAGAAACTGTAACCGATAGTGAGGGCATACTGATTATTTGAATACAAAGATCATGGATTAACCTATAGGAAATTTTTTTTGAGTCAAGTGGCACTCACCATAAGATGATTTTTTTGTCAATAATTCTTATACAAAAAAAAAAAAGTCTTTTTCACTCGTAAATTAGCGTTACAAATAAAAGTTTAAGTTTCTTCAAAAATATTGAATGACTTAGTAAAAAAAAAAATTTTGTATTTTTAATCCATGCTAAGTCATGAATATTATAACCGAACAAAAAATAAAAAGATGTGTCCATCTACAACATGTTTCATGAGTGATTAGACTCTACTTTTTTGAAGGAGATCTAATATTCACAAAGTCTAGCAGTTAAAGTAGTTTTTAAAAAAACCTTACGGCATATTATGGAAATAAAAAGTACTTATTGTGTTAAAAAAGTTTTTATTTTAACCTTTTGTACAATAATTTTATTTAATTAGATATTTTGGAGGACTATTTAAAAGTAGTTCACAGATTCTTTATACGTTAAAGCCTTTTTTTATTATTACACAACACACAATAACTTCAAGTAAAGTTCCAAGCTTAGGAAATAAAAGAAAACTTCTTAAGTACATGGAACAATACAGAAAGTTAGTTCAAAAACTTACATTGCACCTCAGTCATCAATCCAAAATAATTATTGGTAAGTGTACTCAATGGACTAATCGTATGTTCATTTAAGTCATAAAAAGTTTAATTACGAGATATTTTTGTCTGATAAAGATGACGAATAACTATTGTATCTTTCATTTGTAAGGCTTTATTTTATTAAATCTAATCTAGTAAATAGTTACGGTGGTTCTTTCATGATTCCAGAGTAAAAGGTGCGATTATCAAGTTAATATTTATTAATACTGCTTAAATTTCAAACAATAATATGTAAATATTGTTTATTGAGTCAAATAAAGTACTGATTCAAAATTTTGGATCATGATAGTCGATATAAAAGTTTGTAGGAATGATTATGTAAAATTTGCACTAAATACCAGCAATTGATGCTTGTATATACTTTCAACATAGAAAACGAAAATTTATGCCTACGTTTAATTTAATATATTTTGATTACGTCCGCGAACATATATATTCGAGGTGATAGTATGTTAAGTATTGCGTAAGCTTTATTGTGTCAGTTTCTTACTTAGTTATGTTCAGTAATTAAATAACTAGGCTACAACTTTCAGTCAAGAAATGCTTATCTGCCATAAGAGCACATACTTAAACTTTAGTTTTTATCTATCATTTCTAGCGTTTATATTCAGTAGCCTACTTCAAAATTTTGAGGGATAGTGTATTGTAACTTAATAAATGATTCCTCTAGGTTTCATGTTATTCTGTTCATAATCATTTTACGAAAAAATCACCTTAAAACGATATACTTGTAAGAAACGCATCGGTTATCTTTGTTACTGTTTAGGAACAATTGAATGTCATAGAAACTATGGCTCCCAAATTTTATACAAGTTGTTTTTCAAAACAAAGATGTTTTCAAGAATAATTCAAACTATTATTGGAATCATTATTAATCCATGTTTAAAAAATAATAATGTAATAAAGGGATACAAATTTCTAATTCAAGAATTACAAATCATTTAAAATCAAATATAAATGGCCTGAAATAAGGAAGAAAAGTTAGAAAATCATCAAATCTATTTTAAAGCTTAATGAATATGCAACTTGTACCAGTCTAATAACTTAAGAAACGAAGCATTCTACGTTTTTCTTTACCAGGTCTCTATTATTTTTTAGTATGGTACATCTAAGAATTTATAATTAAATATTTGAAATTCAAATATTGCATTACTTTCAATAGTTTATTCATGCCATGTCAATACATAAATAAATTTTGAGATCGTAATTTTCAATAAAAAAAAAATAATGGAGATAATTTTTAAAAATAAGGTCATATTTTTATTACGTTTGTTTTCCCATTAAATTGTTTCTTAACTAGAACGTAATGGCTCTGAGAATAACATGTAGCACTGGAGCCCGTGGCAAAAATTAAAAATATTAGGGACGACACGACGCCAGTGGTATCAAATCCTCGTTATTGATAGAAATCTTTGAATATCTCAAAAGTTAAGCCTTTGATGGTAAGACATGACGGGTAAGAGTTATAAAAAAATTTAATTATAAGTACGTGCTTTTTCATCCCATGTAAATCAAAGCCAGCGTTTTCATATAAGAGCCGCTAAAAGTATGAATATTCTGCGGAAATAAAATGTATAAAATGTAAAAAAAAAACACTAGCTTTTAAAGATTTGAATTGTGCTTTGTGCATTCAAATTCTTGGGTCACTATCCTCTCTATCTACTAAATAACCTGATTGCCAATTTTTAACTGTATTCTGTAAAAAATACTTCGATAAGTACTGTTTGAAAATGCTTGTTATTTTTGAAGATTATTTGTTTCGGCTCAGTAGCTACCTTAAATTTGAAACACTTTCATGATATTCTGTATCATACAATTATTATTATTGCGCTCCATAAAAAAAAAACGTAAGATCTGACACCTGCTTTTTTTAATAAGAGTTTCATGTTCTTAGCTCATATAAAATCTGTATACAGACGGATCTTTTCATTTGAATGTTTGACCTCCTTATTCAAAAAGGCAGCAGTAAAAATCTAAAATTTACTGTACAGTGTTGCAATGAGATAGATCACCATATAAAAACTTGATCGATCAAATAAACTTTCACTAATAAAATTTTCATTATATTCTGGCCGTCAATTTGCTTACGAGTCCTAATACCAGGCTCGTATGTTTTACTTACCAGCCTAGTACAGGACGCGCAATCGTTACTGCCCAAATTTACAAGCAATGCGTTTTCAGTGCTGACTGCTGAATGCTGGTTGCGTGTTGTGTACTTACAATTACCACAATTGCATATCCATTCCACACACATACTCATATGCATGTAATATGCATAATATACGTTTGATTGTGTTTACCATGCTTACAAATAGGTTGAGAGTTGAGAGGAAAAATAAAAGATAAAATTAAATAGTTATTTATTTAACTCTCATGTGCACTTAATACATAAAATGTACTACTTATACCAAAGTTGTTGCAATACAAATTACTTTATCATTTAAAGTTATAAATATCAAGAAAATGATCAAATATCAATTGTTGTTCTCTTTTGAGCGTTTATGATGATTATGGATGATTATTTGACCGTAATTATTAATAGTAATACTGTAATGAGAACCAGATTCTTTTTTTTAGAGATTAATTCAATTTTTTTTGATTTAAATAACTCATGATTCTGATCATCGTTTTCTGAAAAATCATCTAAGACACTGTCAAAATTTGAAGTGCGTGGAATGCTATTTAAAGTTTTTGATGATATAAGTTCATTTTGTTGGGACAAATCCAACATAATTTAAAATTGCTGTCGAAAATTGAGCTGTAGCACCAGAAGTATTTGAAACTGTAGACGTATTCTCTGAAGTACAAAAATCGTGAGAAATCTTCATTACAGAAGATTTATCATTATAGCTTTGTCACTCAAACCATTATTTAAAACATTAGATGATAAAGGTTCATAAGAAGAAACAATTTTTTTTAAATAACTTGTCTGTTTTCTAAGGAATGCTCTACATATCCTTCAATGACTGAACTTGATTTCCATCTACCTAATTGTTTTAAGCTTGTCACAGTTCCACCTGCATTTGATGCCAAGGTGCCACCAGTTCTTCTCAAGGAATGCTCAGTGTACAGTTCTAGTCCATCCAAATTTAAGTATAGTGCTATATTTTGAGGCGTTTCACTAATTTTTTTTTTACCCATAACTTGTCGAGCACAGATACCGATTTGATAATTAAAAAAAGCGAGATGATTCCACATCTTTATGTCTGAGGCTAGCATACATCTTAACATAACCATACAATTTAACTCAGTACCAATCACAAAATAACGAGGGTAATAATTTTTGGTATCCCTTATGGAGACGATGAACTGAGAATTAGTATCTTGAACATCTGATGTATGTATGTTAAGAAATTCTATTGATCTCAAAGCACCACATATACCAAATATCAAAATGATCGACCTGTAATATATATATATATAACAAAATTGAATAGTTACATGTATGCAATTTAAAAAAATAATCATTCTAAATGAGAACCTTCGAAGCCAAATAAATATGATCATCACTCCCAAGTAAACAGTCTAGCTTTTTTGGGTTTGAACCCTTTGGCGTTGATTTTTAATAAAGACTCGAGTTTTTGATAGTCGTTGATATTCATATTATGCTTTGCAGAAAACATAGTTTTCAACATCGACCAATACGACCATATACTATTTGGCTGCGTTTTTTTCGACAGTTTCGAAAAATACACTTACAACAAATTTTCGTTCAAAGGCGATGATTCATTTTTTCCCATCACTTAACGAACTCGTTATATGCAACATAGTAACGATCAGCAGACTTTTTAGGCAGGAGACCGTTGACAATAAATCCAGCTTCTGAATCGATGTCTCGGATTGTTCTTTGGTTAGGTGAATCACTGTCAGAAGAATCTTTAGACGACATTTTTTTATAATCTCAAAAATTTAACGAATTCAATTTTAAAGAGGAAACAAACGAATTGTGAGTTTTGATTTTACTTACATATGGTGACAACACTCAACAGATTTCATTCAAAAC